TTTTATGTTTTAAATGTGTTTATTCAGCAAATAAAACAATAAACATGGACCTATGTAGACAAAATCTAGTTTTAATATGAATAAAGAGATTTATATTTCATCTAACACATAAATAAAAACTGTATTATGTAAACGCGTGTAAATCTTACGCGCATACAAAATGTTAGAAACGTAAACACATGTACAACAATGCTTAAATAAAAACACAACACTTTCATAATGGCCATTCTCAAATTTCCCAAGCATTTATCACAACATAGGAATCGAATAAAAGTCAATGTTTATCGAATAAATCGCATTCCCGTACACCGTCACTATAATATTGACATCATTTTCTATTCACACGTAATGGTGATCGAAGTCGACACGTGGGCAGATAAGCAATTACGCCTTGTTACAATCCCGATATATAATGTTGAAAAAAACCTTTTATTATTCTCAAATAAAGATAAGAATAACACACAAGTTCAACTCTGGGCGTGGGCGAAGTAATATAAATACAATCGAAGTTAAAAAAGCCTCCGCCATATGATATTAGCCTCGCTTTACGCCTATTAACAGAAGGGGCGATAGATCATCGCTGTGTGGTAAAGGTTGCCAGCAAAAAATTACATTAAGACATAAATTCGTTAAAAGGAAACAATTCGGACCAATGCCACTTAGTTCTTAGCTATAGGGGCGCTTTATTTATACCTTATTAGTAGAAATGTCACGAACATATTTTTTCTATCAGTTTAAATAGATTTTTATCTGACTAATCTTTGACATTCAGAAAGGACATAAAATCAGTTTTAAAAGTATACCTATACTTTAAGCCTATAAAGAAATCTTAAGAAATCGAGAAAATTCTTTGATTTTCGCAGTAAACTTATGGTAAAGAGTTAATCATTAAAAAAGTTTTTTTCTTAAAAAGGTGAAAATGTTTTTTGTTCTTAATTTATAAACAAACTAGCTGTTGCTGGCCACTTCGTCCACGTGAGTTTAAAAACAAAAAAATGTATAGCCTATGTTACTGGCTGATAATTTACCTTGCTAAAGATGAAAGAATTTTTAAAATCGACCCAGAAGTTTTTGAGTTTGTTTGTTGTTTCCCTTTTTTATAATAGTAGTGATTAAATCAGTTTTTGTCGATATAATTGTTGCCGCCAAATTTTTGACAACTTGACAGTGACGTCGCGCCACCCACAGACAAGTGTTACCAACACAGATTATAACAGATCGTGTGTCACACAATTCAATTAACAATGCCCTTATGCATTGTAAGAAATCTATTCAAATAAACAATCCGATAGAAAAATTCAAACAACTTTGAGCTTTATTGTAGATGAGTATTGATGATTTCGTTGTCTATCGTTGGTGGCCTTTGAGTATAGAGAAACGGACTAGGTAGAGCCGCTTGTGTACTGAACAAATTCTGCCACATCCTTTGGTATACTGATGCAAATATTTATACACACTACACGAATACAGATACAAGATTAGAACTTATATTCAAACAAGAATGTCTAGTGCGGTGAAACTTTTCCTACTATTGGTTAGTTTAGCTAGAAAATGGCATAAAATGAGGACGTATGCAATCGTAGTGTAGTTTTATTCATGCCTATTTAGTCAGGACATGTCTGTAGTTAGTTTTTCTAACACAATTACGAGAGTTTAAAAGATCCTGTCATTTAAATTCAAAGGTTTGAGTCTCGTTGGTGGCGGTTGTTTATTGTTGTAAAGAATAAAATAGGTCATTTATTCTGACGGCTGCGTTCGTTTGTAAGGGTTGGTTAATACTGATGTGGTATCACCATCTATCAAACTGACGGATCGGTATCCTGTCGTGGTGAAAGTTTAGTGTTGTGCTTCGGTTCTTTGAAGTTGTTATAGAGGTTTTGATCAATCGATAAATTAGCATTGTTAAGAAACGCTTTATATTATGATCAATGTTAATTTAAAAGGTGTTATTAATAATTTTTGTTATGGTCGATTAGTGTTGGGCTATCTATCGTAAACACACACTTCTTTGTTGCGTAAGATGTCAGCAATATTTTCGAATAACTCTTTTTTTTATTAAAAAGCCTTACACTTACGTCACGTTTTAGGCTATATATTATCACGCCGAATCATAGGGGTAAATATTTTGGATACAACCCTAATGTGGGAAAGTGACCATAAGTTGTTGCCAGCATCAAGGAAGTAAGATTGCCAAGGTTTGACATGTCATGTCATTTTGACATTTGCAATTGATAATTTGACAAATGTGAACAATAAAATGATTTTTTTATAATTTTATGCGGACGAAGTCGCATGGGAACAGCTAGTCGATAATAAATCTTTTCTATCGATAATGTAGTCGATAAAGTACTTTTTTTTACAATTCTCTAATAATTAGTTAAATAATTCCGAGTATTACTAGAACAGTTAGCTAATGAAGCTGTTATACGATTAGTGTTGCCAGATTTTAATCACCAGCCGTTGGGATGTATTAAAAGTAACGATATGACTTCCGTGTACATTATTGTGACCACATAACATTATTTAACTGGATATTATTATTGTCATAAATGTTAGTATTAAATTCACATATTAAATATCCTTTAATTACGATAATGAATGGTTTCCGTTGTATAACGACAGAATTTGACCACCTTATTCATTTGATATTATATGAAGATAGCTTGCTGAAAAATAGAAAGCGACAGCATATTTTAAGAAATAAAGTAATCTATATTATCTGTACAAATATTATAAAGGGGGAAGATTTGTATTTTTGTAAGTATTGACCTAACTCAAAAACTACTGGGCCGATTACAAAAATTCTTTCACCATTAAAAAGCTCCGTTATCATTGTGTAACATAGGCTATGTTTTTTACTATTTTTAATTCCACAGGACTAAGTCGCGAGTAACAGCAAGTGCAACAGTAATTTCTTAATGTTACCATTTTAGCCATTAAGGAAAGTTTTACTTTAACGTTACCGTTATCTCAGAGTCATAAGCTCATAAGATTTAGATATTAAATTTAATTATGTCCTAAACAATGTAACAGTATGTACACCCTAGCATAACAAGTGTTGATAGGCAGCGCGCAGACGGTGACTGCAACCTCTCGATCATCACGGCAACACGCCATCGAACGGTGTAGAGTAACTCTAGTGTAGACACGTTTGGTAGGATTAAAGTGGCGAGTTTTATTAAAAAATAATAAGTGGTCACTAAAGAGTCCCTCAATAACATATAAACATATAAAACAATCGAGTGTCTGTAATAACAAAAAAAAAATTCCAGATTTAGGGGAGATGATATATTTGCGTTGCTGATAACGATAATCGCATTTTAAAAAATTTTGTCCGTCTGTCTGTGGTCTGGGTCAGCTACCCTCCAGTGAAAGTCGAAAAATCGGCATACATACACGTAGACGGGCATATTTTATCTTAATATTGCGTGGACGAAGTCGCGGGCAGCAGGTAGTCAAATAAACTATCGTGTTTCATTTATAATTTCCTTCACCGTAAGAACGTCGGGTAAATTCTGTACATATGAAATTCGACAGCCGAAAATCATATTGGTACATAACGGGATACGTACCCAAGACCTGTTGATTGCAAGTCAAGTGCTTTAACCACTCCACTGATGCTCTAGTTGTGAGTAATTTAATGACATATAGGATGTTATGATTGTTACGTGCAGGAATGCGGGATAACGCGTCAATCTAGCTCATTGCGTTATATTTCGTTGGAACTAGAAATAGTTCAATTGCGACAAACGTTTGTATGACACAACTTTGTAGTCGGTGTCACATGTTTGAACATCCTGTATACATGTCAATCTTTATGTCGATTCTCGGAATTGATAAACGGTTACGGTCTTCAAAATTTACTTCGTTAGGTTATGTTAGTCAAATTCTTCGATTTTATTCTAATGAAAATTTAGTATGAGTTTTTGAGGTCGATAAGAAATGTTAGGAGCTTATTATTATTATTTACTAATATTATAAATGCGAAAGTTTAGATGGATGGATGTTAGAGTTTGTAGCCTAAGCGGTTGGACAAATTTCGATGAAATTTGGTATGAATGTAGAGGATAGTATGGAATGACACATAGGCTACTCACTTTTGTTGTTTTTTAAAACCACGCAAACGGAATTGCGTGCGAAAACTAGTTTCAAATAAAGTTAACATTATTCGAACTTTGATTTTTATATTTTCTTAACGCATCTTTAGTTATGAGAATCTTAAGACTTACGACAGAAAAGATAACGCCCACACGATTGTTCTGATGTGACATTTAAATGCGCCCTATGACCGTTAAATTCCATACTGTATCGCTAGAATACCAAACAATAATGCCTCCCTCTCTATCTATATTGCCTATTAATGTTTATTCCAATTTCAATTTTTAATCTCCACTTTATGTCACTGGCTAGTTACATTGTTGACCACACATTTAGATAGGAACTAAAGAAAATCTCTTATAGTTCGTGATGAAGTGAAAACTTACTATTATCGTCATCATCACCGTCATCATAATCACCAATCATCATTATCATATTCCTCCTTATGCTACTCCCGTAGGGTCGGCACAACAGGTATATATTCTACTAACTATTGCTCGCAACTTCGCCCTCGTGAAATTAAAACATATAACCTATGTTACTCACAGATAAATTACCTTTCTAACGGTAAAAGAATTTTTAAAATCGGCCCAGTAGTTTTTGAGTTATTTCAATACATACAAAAATACAAATCTTTCCTCTTTATAATATTAGTATAGATAGATCGTTTTTTTTAAGTTTATTTCAAGTTGCCTTTTTAAATACGTAAGTCGAATGATTTCATTTAAAATGAGAAATTTTACCAAACCTTTCGAAACAATTTCATATTTATAAGGCTAAAATAAAATACTATTTACAACAGTCATATTTGTATTATCAAATCAAACATTGCATTTTAAAATAAATCAATAGATAGTACAATATCCATTGAATTTGATCATAAAATATATGTGTGAACTTACATTAGCGTAGTGGAAGCCGCAGGCATCCATGCAGAGGTAGAGGCAGGTGGACACCCCCTGGATCGTCAGGAGGCCGACCTTGTATGTCGCACGCTGAAGTATCGCTGGAACAAAACGCCACATCTTACTATCTTCACGTTTGTACATCAATAAACACCACATCTTTGACTAAAATATCGCACAATTGTTGTGTGACTGACGATTGTTTTGATAATTCAATTGTTTAGTTAAACAACTAACGTGTTGTGGGTGCCTTTCAATATAAGCTTAAAGGAATCAAAGCGAGTCTAAACACTTGTGTGTTTTTTCTTTTAGCGCCGTCTCTTTCCCTTCTTGCATAGCAAGAATTTTTGTTAGGCTTAATTAAAGAGTTGTTTAATTTTATACATTTTATCGTGCGACCTTTTTGTTTGTGTACCACTTTTCCTAATTTACTTTTGTGTTGTTTTAATTGTGTGTTAGTTTGGTCAAAGGTGTGCGCGCACTAAGGCGGCGAATTAGGGTTTTTTTTAAACTAATATTCACTAAAATAACCTTTCTAGGAATACCGAATCAGATAAATTTATTCTTTAGTGAATATAGAAATACATTCAATAGAGCGTGAGAAAACTAAAAACTAAGTACTGAATTTTATATCCGTAATATCCCTATTTATCTGTCTATTCGTTTGACATCTGTAAATACCGTGGAAATGTTATACCGAATACATATGTCATGTCGTGTACCGGTCACATAAAATACATGGTGAAAGGACCAACTAACCATCATTCACTCACTAGTCATTCACAAGACATCACTCCGTAGACACTAATTCCATTCAATCCTTTAAGTAGCTTCGTGCATCTGTCACCGGCAAATTGTGTGCCGTTTTATAAATCACCAATACCTCAATTTGGGTATTCATTTAGTACTAGCTGTTGCCCGCGTCATCAAGCACTCAATATTAACATAAAAAAGTAGCGTATAATATGCCCGTCTATATCAGCTACCATTTACTGAAAGTCTGGTCGAAATTGTGTTAGCCGTTTCGGAGATTACCCGGAAAAAACACGGCTTGCGGTCAGACAGACAAAAAAAATTTAATGCCATTTTCGTTATCAGCAACGCAAATACATCATCTTCCCGAAATCTGTAATTTTTCATTTGATATTACAAACAGACACTCCAATTTTATTACGTGTATAGATAGTTATTTATCCAATCTTTACTATTTAGTGGGAATATTGCAAACGGATGTCGTCCAATATGACGGTGACATCTACACAGTCAAATAACCTAAACATTCAACAGTAACCTAATATCTCGTAGACACTAACCGTTTTATGTGCCATTTTACGATTTCCCGTGCAAATGGTGCATAAACAGTGTTACGGTTAACTGAATGAATGAACGAAATATAAACCTTTGTGTATATATCATGTGTTGGGTTACAAAGGGAGTGTTCTAGAATTGCTTAGGCTTTATAGGATTGCTATCTGTGTCCTAGATGTCATTACTTGTTTTTATGAACATTGTATTAGTTTTACTTGTTGATTTTATCGCCAGTAGCATATCTTTACTTGGAAATGGGTATAGTTGGTACAATAATTTTACAACTATATGCAAGAATACAGTTAATCTATCTATACTAGTTATTATAATAAAGCATAAACACACACTTCTTTGTTGCCTAAGATGTTAGCAATTACAGCAATTTTTTTAATATTCCTTTCTTTAATAAAAGCACTACACTTACGTCACGCTTTAGGCTATATATTTTCACGATATTAGACTTAGGGGGTAAAGATTTTGGATAAAAACCCTAATGTGGGAAAGAGACCATAAGTTGTTGCCAACATCAAGGAAGCAAGATGGCCAAGGTTTGTCATGTCATGTCATGTCATTTTGACATTTGCTATTGATAATTTTACAAATGTAAAATTTTCATGATTTCATGCGGATGAAGCCGCACGAGAACAGCTAGTATAAATATAAAAATATAAATATAAACAATAGTACACATGTAGGTAAGAACTTGTAACAGAAACCGTTTGCTGGTTTGTAGCTAGATTTAGTACTAACATTGCAACGACATTTACTCCAGGAAGAAACCGACAATATTCGGATTGGATACTACCGTTTGGAACATGCTGTAAACTGACATTTGTATTGTACAGTGGCGCCACCGCTCATACTTTATAACTTACGTAAAGTTAAAAAAATTGGTTTCTTTCTAAATTCTATATATTTGGTCGAAAATTATTATAGTAAGTTTTTGGTAGTACACGCTTCTTACTAATTTATTTGAGTTTGTATGTTTGGAGGGATGTTTCTTAAGGTATCCCCAAAACGACCGAATAAATCTCAATTAAATTTAGATATAGTGCATAATCAGAAAGAAAACATAGGCTACTTAGGGACTGTCTCACCACAGGTTGATAGAGGCTCAGATAGTTTAAAAATTACGTCACTGTCTAAAAGGGAACAAAACCCGAAATATCCATCACATATTTTACACGTTGTATTATCAGACAATTTACAATTTAGTGGAAGAAGCCCTTAATCATTTTTAAACATGCGCGGGGCTCGCTGTCGCTAGTAACAATTGTCAATTAGTTGATGAAAAAATATTTAAAATATTTAGATCTGTCCTTTTGATTGTAGATTCATAGTTTAAGTACGTAAACGCTTTCTCGTGCTTAAATACATTCTGAATTGCATACAATTCTCTAATTCGACACGGCTCTCTGATACGTTCCGTATAAGGCAGGCTTGATTTAAATGTACATTGGATTGCCAGCCGTAACATGCACTGTTACTGAAATACAGCTTTGTTAGCTGTTATTATGTGTACATTTTGCGTATTTTTAAACGCATTTATGCTTTCGCCCGCGACTTCTTTCGCCTGGTACTAAAAACAAAAGAAAATAGCCTATGTGTTCTTCCAGACTATGTTCTAAATCTATGCCAAATTTCATTAAGATCCGTTTATTAGTTTGAGCTACAAATTGTAATAAACATCCATCCATCTAAACTTTCGGATTTTTAATACTAGTTATAGGTTATACTTATATTATAAAGAGAAAAGATTTGTATTTTTGTATGTATTCGATTCACGCAAAAACTACTGGGTCGATTTTCAAATTTCTTTCACCGTTAGACAGGTAATTTATCTGTGAGTAACATAGGCTATATTTTTTTAATTTCACGCGGACGAATTCGCGAGCAACAGCTAGTTATTTATATTTTTCGCTTTAAATATTACTAATCGGAATAAAGGATGCAATAATTGTCTTATCTAAAACTCATCGTAGAAAATATAATTTCATTGTTAAAAATTAATAACTCATTTTAAAATTATGTTTAAACACAATAAAAATATTATCTAAACCATTTAGAAAAATATTAAGATATAGTTGTTTAGAATGATTTATTTGATAGTGCGTAGATACCCTTAATGGATAAGGAACGCTCTGTCGGCGCCCCGGGCCACGTCCGGGCGGTGCACGATCGAGCGACGAGTGTGAACATGATTTTACAGACTTCATGGATAGTCTCATATTCAAGACAAATACACTAATAAAATACTATTGGTATTACAATATTAATAAAATTTTCCTTGATCGGTGAAAATAAGGGCAATTTCAATGTATTATTCAAAAACCAAGAGGTTTACTGTAGATTTAATCATATGATATTACGCAAGCTATAATATATTTTAATGGTAAACTGAATAGAAAATATTGAACTGTTAATATCAAATTTATCCTATAAACCAACGCAATAGTGATGCACCGTGCACTAGTTAAGAGTATCGATGAGTGCAGCGTTAATTCCTACTAAGGAGCTGTGAATGAGGCGCTGCAATTTGCTAACACTCGACTGACTGTAATGAGACCTCATTGATGTCTAGTGATGTGACTCGTGTATCGATACTTTGTATTTTTTTTGAACTGGTAACTGAATTCAATTAGTAAAAATAAAAATGATACAGTCATTCTATCAAAGTGTCATACAATGTTATAATTATGTTTTAAAATAAGTCTTTATATATCATCATCATCTCCCCTGCCTTATCCTACTCCCGTAGGGTCGGCGCACCGGGTTTTCGTCCTCCAAAGCACTCTATCATCCGTCATCTCAGTCATCACTCCCTTCTTGATCATGTCACCTTTCCCGCAATCCATCTATCTCTTTCTAGGTCTCAAGTGTGCACTTTATAGGTCTTTATACATATTAAATATTTATTTATACTGTAATTATGAAATATTTCATGACTTTTATGGTATTTAATTTTTTTTCTAATTTTTTAAACTATCGATAACACAAAGATTAAACTGTTGCACGTCCCTATATTTTGACGTGCGAAGTCAAGGCACGAGACGTAAATAGCACTAATCAGTGTAGCTAAGTGAAAATAGAATAGTGTTTAGAAGACAATTTAATTTGAACTAGTGGATATTACATCGTGTTAGAGCTTCCCTAAGTGTCTCTAATGATAGAGTAGTACAGAAGGTAACCATATAAAAAAAATCCGTATAAGTACTCTAGTTAGAATTGTAATCATATATTGGCATTACCTTCAGGCCTTTTGCTCACGCATTTCTTCTACAGATTGCAGCTAAAGGTCTATTCCTCTATACTAATATAATAAAGCGGAAACACACTACTTTGTGGCGTAGGATGTCAGCAATCACAGTATATTATTGAATAATTCTTTCTTTAATAAAACGACCTACACTTACTATAGGCTATATATTTTCACGCTTTTAAACTTCATGTGGGAAAGGGACCATAAACTACAAGCTGCCAACATCAAGGAAGCAAGATTACCATAGAACGGTAATTGGTATACAATGTGAAAGACCTTCGTTGTCATTTGTACATTTAAATTTTGACATTCTCAATTGTTAATTTGACAAATGTAAACAATAAAATAAAGTTTTTACAATTTTAAGCAGATGAAACCGCGCTGGAACAGCTAGTCCATTATAAAGGTTTTAAAGTTTACTTAGTAGGCAGATAGATTATACCATTAAAATCCTAATTACAACATTAAAAAGATTAAAATTTGACTTTTGACGTTAATATTTACAACGTTCAGGAGCTATTAAAAGTCAGGAGT